TACGAAAAAGAAAAAAAAAAAAAAAAAAAAAAACCAAAAAAAAAAAAGTGGTGCAACAACACAAACCAAGCAACATTTGGTTGAGCATCATCTTCATATTCTTATTGGAATTTGAGAAGAAAAAAAAAAAATACAATAGGATTAAAAAAAAAAAAAAAAAAAAAAAAAAAAAAAAAAAAAAACCTCGTACGGGGCCCCTAGCGTACGAGTAGTGGACGAGTACAAGAGTACGAATCCGTACTCGTACGAGGCTGCGTACAAGTGGCAACGCAACTTTTGATAGATATTACCTTCCCTAAATGTGTTTCGTTCCTCCTAAGGGGCATACCAAAATGTGTACCTTGATATAACCTTGTGCCTTAAGCCTTGCCAGAATAATTTATTCTTACTCGAGTTTTGTCGCCTGACATCCATTGATTGTGGCATCTTACCCCCTGATTCGCTTTTTCCTCCTGCTGTATTTGATCCGCCCATCTATTGTCTGGTGGACAAGAGTTTTCCTCGGTCAATCTTGTTGTCGTCGCGACTTCATCTGTCGTTGTTCTTTGTGCCCGTACTTTGTCTTCATCCGCTACTGCTCTTCTCACTACCTGCGTCTGTAGTTGATGTTGGAGAAACCTTTTTTTTATGTTTGCCTGATTGAATGTGGAGATAAGCTGATCAGATAATAATCGCTTGATAACAAGTGTTGAGTTTTTCGGTTCGCTTCGGTTCAGTAACTAAAACAGGTTGTGGGCCGCCTTGCAATCTTGCGGGGGATCTACTCCAAGGCTAATAGAAATATATGGGGATTGCTTGTTGACTATCCCGCCTCATTCGTGTTATTTTAATGAATAGAAGGCACAGTGTTATAAACTAATATAAAGAGGATTGCATATTTACCCATTAAATATCTGATTGATGGGGATTAGTTATAGCATTATCCTTTTTTTGAGTGGTTGACATATTAGAACCAGATTTGACGATTGCGGAGTTGTCTACTATTTTTCGAACATGAAGATGAAGAGTCGAGGAATGACAATATGCCTCGTCTAGGATACTTGTGTAAATGAGTGTTTGGCATAGTGCGTGGCTAACTCCTCAGAGTCCATTCTGGACTAGTGGTGAATTGGCCTATCATTACAAAGCTCATACTGCTCGGCCCATCTGATCCACTTGAATTGTGGTACTTAATCCTCCTCCTTTTATACACAGACCCCTTGTGACTGATTATGGTCGCAAAGTCTGAGTGTTCCGAATTGTACTTAAGTAAGGCAAGAACATGATAATGTTCAGAGTGGTATCTAAATCGTGGAGACTCCTCTAGTTGGGCTCGACATATCGTTTGAGCTAAGAACCTCTCAAGGGTACTCGATGCAGAAAAAGAGAAAAAACTTTATCATTATTGGCATCGCAAGCTATCCAAGAAGTGGATTAATAACATATATACTACCAGTGCAACTTTCAGGTAGGAAACTGATCAACGTAACTCGAAGGAGAAAATGAATATTGAACACAAGCCAACAAATTTTCTATAGTAGAGCGAAAAGAACCTTTGAGATGACGAGCGAAGCGACTTGGTTTCCTGCCTAATTCCTGAGCATTGCATTGCTTTGATTTATTTGTGAGTGGAAATTGTGGTCACCTACCTTCTTGTTCAGTGCATGAGTCGAATCTAAAAAAAAATTCTTCTGTGTAATGTGAGCGTAAAAATGAGAAATCGATAATACTCACTTGCATATCAATGTTGCGCGAGTGTCTATCAATGTTTTGTGTGATACATGAACAAGGCGAGAGTATTGCCACACTCATGTAGAATTTAAATGATTCTTACGCAGCAAGCATTCAACTGGAAGTTTTGATAACCTGCAATTTACTAAATAGCCAACAGTGAACGGTTACCGAGGACTGTTGGGGAAAATTATTTATTGAAAAGTGAGCGGTGTATCATCGACTGAAAAAACTAGTTGCAAGTATCGGACGAAAATACCAGAGGTAAATCATCGCAGTAAAATAACCCAAATCAGTGACACATTCAGCTCCATTATGAAACTGGCAAACATCTTATCCCATCGCTTCAATGACATCGCAATCGTTATCCATTGACATGTTATGGATCAATATTCAGACTTTCTTTAGATGGGTAACATCTCTCGGAACATTCAGTCCGCATGTGAGGTGTGCGGGTTGACGAGATAGTCTCATACTCAACAGTCGCTCAGGCAAGATCGAGTGGTTTGCTCAGATTACCCTTGTGACTTGCCCTAGTAAAATCTAACTATCGGTCTTCATCATTCTCTCATAATTGCAAAATAAAGTTATTCCTAACTACAGTTTTGTATCAACACTCAACCACTCTTCAGCAAAACCTTGAAGACCGTTTACAATCTGATGTTGGAGGTGAAAATAACATTCCAACACATTCAGAATCTACGGTCGTCAATTTAAACAGAACATCAACAGTCTTGAGTCTGAGAGCAGTTTTATTTTTTGAGTGCAGAGCTCACCAAGGCTATCTGCAGTCTATTCTATCCACAGTCTGAATCTTGGGGTGAGGAAAAAATCATGAAAAAAAATGAGGTCCTCGTAATGAAGTACAAATCTAACAAAGATAAGAAGGAGGGATGAGAGAAAGAGGCATGTCAGGATATGGATTACCATAATCGGGTTCAAAGAGAACATGCAGTTCGGATGGTCAGAAAAAAGAAGTATATCGAATATGTATTTTATTTTTATAGTCACAATTGCAAGTTGCACATCATTGGCTCGTCGTTAGAGACGGTGGAGCATGTTAGGGTGAGGCTCGGGTGAGCACAAAGGTCCCCAAACTCTTCTCTCATAATCCCCACTAGCATCCCAATTAGCAAATGTCACTTAGTAATCTGCAGTTTTCACAGCGTTCTGCTATCAAGTGATCAATATTCAGTGACTTGTTAATTTAGCAACATTCAGTCATCTGAGTTACCAGCAAGATTCAGTCAAGATCATTCATCATTCAGTCATTTTAATTTGCCCTAGAGATCAGTACCAATCAGACATTGCTCTCATCAAAAGACATTGATATCAATTTTAATATTCACCTTTGCTCATGAGTGCAATTCAGTCATTCCCAATCGAGGGGTCAATTTTGACCAGGCTCAACAAGATTGCTTCCAAATATGCTTTCCAATACCAATATGTTAGTGTTGTTCGTTTCAGACAAGGGGGTCTATCAGTCTTTGTTGTTCTCACCGGATTCACAGGTGGCGTCATCCATGACCGGCGACTCTATGTGAAGAAAGGCAAAGAGACTCATGAACAATTCGACTCAATCTGAATTTCAACAACAAAAGGAGAAAGAGTTTAATGAGAGTGGCACGAAGTTGATCCGCAACTTCAGGCTCAATCTCTATATTGACTATCCCAAACCTCTAGTCTCCTTCCTTCTCACAGACGATTCCTACTGGGGTGACTTGGTTGATCTAGCAAACAAGTACATTTCTCTAGTAAAGATTGATTACAAGGCCGTGACTGAACCCTCAGAGTTCGACATGTCAGACGAGGAATTTTCTCCCAACCATACCTCCCTACCATGCTATGGTGGACTTCCTTATCATGGGCCTTGGATCAAAGTGTTCCGAACTTGCAGGTTTTAGGTGACTCTACATCTAGAGGCCACAATCTAAGGAAGTACATGGACATGGCTCAGGGCACAGAAAATATACGACCAAATGAAAGATTGAGTATGAGACTTTAGAGGGACGGGTGAGGACTCTTGACGAGTTCTGGTCATGTCTATCCAACTGTACCTTATAAGATTATTATGATTTCTCACTTTTCCCTCATTTATCTTGCCCATGTCGTGAGTCAGTCAGTCGTGTTTCATTTGCATTGACTTTCCTAATGATTTTATCACAGTTCTCAAAATTGGTTAATTGGCATAATTGATATATGCATGACACACCAAAATTTCATAGTAATTATCATTTGCATGATCTTGTTGTTCCGAATCAAATTGAAAGATTCCGAAGACCGGGGACCGGCGAAGACCGCAATTGAAGGGTCTCGCTCGAAGTCGGACGCACACAACAGGAAGGGATTTGCTTTATTTAATTATTTATTGCAAAAATCTTAAACCACTAGTACCTCCGCCAGTGTTGGAAAATTACAATATTTTGCCAGTTCCCGAAGTTATCGGGGGTGGGACACAAGGTCGGCACTGTCCCATAAAATAAATTTTTATATTGTCCGCGAGTGAAAGAAAAAGAAAAAAAAGAAAATGCTATCTATACTGCAATGATGTAGGGCAGGGTAGTTTTGGAGGCCACACTCAGAGTCTTCCTCCACAGAATGCACCTCACCGGTAAGGCGGTCACATTCTGGATGTTACTGTTTTTTTTTTCTTTCTTGCTTGTGTATTTCTTATAAATCCTCTGCCAATGAGTCTGGGCGGAATCCGTGAATTGGTCAAGCCGTCTGTGATTTGCTCAAGCTGTAAAGGGGAATATATCCAACTATTTTCACGACCGGATCCGTGTGCCAATTTTTTTCCCCTTCTATTCTATTTTCGACTCTCACAACCTGGCCACGGGGCTGAGATGCCCTCACTGATGGCACACTCACACTACCACTTCCAATAATGTATACAACTGCAATCACGGCCAAAACTTTGTGTTCGTCCGACTGCTTGTTTTCACGTGTGTGTGCTACTGCATGCATCTTGTGTGAACTGAAGTGTGGGATCGACGTATCGATGACATAACATATACCTCTTGAAGCTCGTGTGAATCAACCTGGAGCCAATCAACCGGGAGTATGTGAGCACGCTGTACATTCAAATGTACACCATTTCGAGTCGGTCGGGGAACCTTTTTTTTGGACTGAAACCGGTCGGGGAGCCTTTTTTCGAAATTGACAAATTCTTTTCCAATCATTGTGTGCGCGACTACTTGTTTTCACGTGTGTGTGCTGCTGCATGCATCTTGTGTGAACTGAAGTGTGGGATCGACGTATCCATGACATAACATATACCTCTTGAAGCTCGTGTGAACCAACCTGGAGCCAATCAACCGAGAGTGTGTGAGCACGCTGTACATTCAAATGTACACCATTTCAAGTTACGAGATTTTGTGAGCGCAAGTGGCGAACGAACCATGGCGGGGAGACGAGAATACGATGACGGGTATACACGAAGGAGAAACGAGAGTTGCGGAGGAGGAAGAGGACGAGACGACCGAGAACGGGACTACCACGGTAACTACGAGAGACGTGAAGACAGGAGATTCGAGGAAGTCGGACGGGAAGATCGCCCACGCAATGAGGAAGAAAGAGGTCGGCAGCCAGCGGGCATGGAGATAAGTTTTGAACGAAGATTTGAACCGGGAGGAAGTAGCGGAAGACCCCCTCTAATATGCTATGGGTGCAAAGTCGTTGGCCACTACCATAATGACTGCTGGCGCTTTTGGACCAACGAGGAGACTCGTCGACGTATGGAAGCTGATGGTTACCAGTGTCCACCGGAGTTTGCAAGACGTGGACGATCTGTGTCACCAAGGCAACAGAAGCTAGTACACTTGAAGCGATCGCCATCCGAAGAACCACGAACGAGCAGCAGATTGGACGATCTAGGGAAGACAGTGGCGACGATGAAAGACTTCGTGGACTTAGAGATGGCAAGGAGAGAAGTCAAGGAGCAGAAGAAGCGGGAAAAAGAGTTGGCAAAGCAACGAGAAGAGGAGGAACAAGCAACAGTTGAGCAAGCGCGTCGAATCAAAGAACAAAGGGAGATGAAGAAATTGGAGAAACAAAAGAGATGCGAAGCTGATCGAGAAGCCATCACTAAAGCTGTCGACATCCAGTTGGCGCTACGTTTGAAGAACGTCCTTGAAGTGCTGAAGACTGAAGTGCATCGAGTTGTCAGGGAAATCATCCCTGAATTGAAAGGCAAGGCGAAGGTGGAGAAAACCATTCCGTCGACATTTAATCCAGTTGAGGAAGCCAGCGAAGTTGAAGAGATCACAGAGGGCACTGGAGGCCTGTACATCTCGGAGAAACGTAAGAGGGAGGAAGATACACCAGTTGGAGACAGCTCGTCGGTGACAACTCCTGCTAAGAGAACCATGAAGAGGGCGACAGCAAGACCGTTGCGCCTCACCAAGAGGCTACGCACGCGCAACACACATACAAAGGTCACGCAAAGTCGGATAACACGAAGAGCTCAGACGGAAATTAAGGCGACTTTGAAGAACTCAAACATCGACAGGCTGCAATTTTTGGATTCCGTACGAAGGGAACTGATCAATTGCCACCATGATGAGATCAAAGCTATCTGTGGACGGGAAGAAGTTGCGTATAAGACAAAGCTTGCAGATCTGCGCGCCGATGTGAAGTTCGGAACGTTGGACCCAGATGCGGCTGTCGTGAACCTAACTGCTGATTTCGATGACCAGACCGATGAGGAGGGAACTAACTGAAGTCCTTTTAGCTTAGAGCAAATCTGTGAACTATGTGAGATTTTGGTCAGGTATCGACTTACGCACTCGGTTCTGAACAATCAGATCGAAAGTTTGTATAGGTTGCTTGTACTGCGCCTGGCGCTCACAGGAGCGATACGCTGGTTAAAAAAGTGTGTTCCTGCATGGGTTGAACTGTTTGACAGGCACGGTCTGGATTTCTTGGATCTGCCGAATGACGTCTACGTCATCACTTCACCCACCTGCAAATCACAATATGTAGGACAAACAGGGAGAGGGCCTGACGTAAGATGGAGGGAGCATATCTCTGTCTCTAATAAGAGATCGAAGAAAACACATCTCTATAGATGGTGGGACACTTTCGGACATGAATCCTATGCTTTGTTACCTATCGCTGTAGGAATTCCCGAAGATTTGCTTACGTTAGAAAAGTTGTTAATTAAACGGTGGTCTCCGGTATCGAGCACAGCTGGCTTGAATAAGCGTGGGAAGGCCGACGAGAAAAAAAGAAAAAGGGAAAGGAGACGCGATAAATGTAAGTCGAGGTTGTGAGACCTGTGTACGTAAGATGCAGTGACAGTGACAGTTGAACCGTGAGAATACTCGAGATCCTAAGTGAGAAGGATAGAACGCGCACGCGAGCCTTCAAGCTGGAATCAAAGAGTGGTGGGGTCTGGTGTGACACTTGGAAGAAGATTAAGAAAGGTTTTGGCAAATCTGAGGTAACTATTGGTAGTCAACGCATGCTGTTAAAAGACTGTCGAACACGGATTGAAGATGAATGTAGCTTAGAAGTTACCTATCTGAGGAGATGGCGCCCAAAACAGAATTTCTATAAGTCGTTCTAAGTATCCCTGTTGAAGAATCCTCGAAGGATCGATAAATTTAGAAGGTGGGATTTAACATCTCTGGATTTTCTATTTAGCTCGGTAAAGGAATTCGATCATAAATCTACTCGATCCTATCTGCGACGCTTGATTTCGAGACTGGTACGTGAAAGGTTTGGTTTCAATTTTTCTGCTGCCCTTGTTTTTCAACTGCTCTTTGATGACCGCATAAAACTGAGGGAAGTTAGGAGATTGGTGAATGGTAAGTTAGGGGAACTCCCCCTCCCCCCCTGTGTATTACGTCGAGCACGAGCGAAGGTCCGCATCGTTTGGACTAAGAATCCTAACGTTGTCGACTTACTCCACAATCAGCGTAAGTTTGCGCGTTTGGATGTGGTTGGTTGCCTTTCCTTGTACAGGTCTTCCTTACCCTCGGGTAAGAGTTCACCTGCGTTGTCGTTTACACGAGAGCGAAGGGGTTTCCCCCTTGATGTGGAATGCTGGCAACATACCTTTGGCTCGAAGGCCAAATCGTATGTTGACACTGGGAGGAGAAATTTGCGTAGGCTTCAGAGTTTGGGCCAATATCAAGGACCGAAGAGTGATTTGTCGTAAGGAAGAATTGGAACGGTGTATGCAACCTGTAGTCGTGAGTCGGAGGGAGTACCTGGAAAAGGAAGAAGTGGTGGAGCTCAGAGAGAGACTGAAGGGATTGGTACTCACACCCGTAGACCGTAACCCCGGAGAGACACTGGTTATATGCCCGGTTCTCTATTACGAGGGCATGCGTGATCTGTTCTTCGCAATGAAGGATACGTGTCATGTGAGAAGAACGAAGTTGGTGTGTTAGAGGATATGAAAGGGCATCTCAAGGACCACGGACTGTTAAGTTTCGCCAAATGGGATAAGACAGGTAGCATAGGTTTTGCATATGCACTGCCAAAGCACAAGGACTTGGACCGCTATAGACCAATTTGCCCGACCTTTTCTGAACCTACAGACAAGAGTTGTCGGGCAACAACCAAGGCACTGAACCATCTCCTGTACACTCTGCCACAGGAATGACACTTTAATCTGAAGGACGTAACCAGACTGACCGATCGACTAAAGATCATTGAAAACAAAGCGGGGAAGATGAGAAAGCAACCAACCATCATGGCACGGTCGTACGATATAAAAGATATGTTTAGTCGTTTACCTCATAACGACATTATTCTCGTTGTGGAATGGTTGTTAGATTACCACAGTAGGAAGGGGAGAACATTCGTACGTGTGAACACGTGAGGGCGGGGTGAGAGAGAGAGAGAGAGAGAGAGATGACAAGTGTACAACGAGCAAAATGGGCACATGCGACTCACTCAATTGAGCGCTGAACGTGTGAGGCATTGAATACCAACAAAAAATTGTGGGTATTTTTTTGCGCGGTTTATCAAATGTAGGTACCCCTTTTAAACTGTTGGTTTCATGTTAATAAACAGTTTAACGGGCGTAGTGTCATGTGTTCCACCAAAAGTGAAGGAACTCAACGTTGATAACATATGTCATAAACATGCGATACTGTGTTCAACACTTGTTCAGTTGTTGAAAAGTTGTTGAAAAGTTGTTGAAAATGTGATGATCAACTGTTGAACATTTCAGATATTGTTGGGAATATTTGAAATTCGTCAGAAAACTGCCCCTGTTTGTGTGTGTGTGTGCGTGTGTGTGTGTGTGAGAGAGACAGAGACATCTTCCCTCCCAAACCGATAGACAGTACAAAATTCACACGCGGGTTGGCTACCATGTGCCAATTTTCAGCATCATTCCCATGCACGACAAGAACATGGCACGCAGTAGTCAACCAGTCATGTACTTCTCGCCCAGCATTAAGATGAACATGTTTTGTAGTGTCTGCCCAATACTGCTTTGTGACATCATATTCAACATTTTTCGAAGTGCGTA